TTGCCAAGGTTGGAGACCTCTGTTTTAAGGGACAGGGTTGTTAAACAGAAGGCAAAAAAACAAAAACCCAAAACACTACCACATTTGTTACTTGCTTCATCAACTGGGAAACAAACATCTGCCAGTTCTATTGTAGGGATCAATAACACTTATACTCCAAGCTTTTTGGAAGGACTGGAATTTGTACTTTAGCTCAAGGGTCTCCAACCTTGGCGACTTTAAGCCTGGAGGACTTCAACTCCTCCAGGCTTAAAGTCACCAAGGTCGGAGACCCCTGCTTTATCTGACCACCTGCCTTCTAAAAAGTCCACTTCTAACCCTCTCTTCAAAATAATGGCAGATGACAGGAAAAGCTGACAAATTTGCCCCTGTCAAAGAACTTCTTTTCTCAGGAGTGAGTTGACCAAGCAAGGGTCCTTGTTAATATGTGGAGATCAATTTGTGCTGTCCTTTTTTTCCTCCAGGGAACCAAGAGAAAGGTGATATGGGTTTAGGAGCAGTGCCTGGGCGCCAGCCTGAATTCCGGGAAGGTGTGGCTTTGGCTGTGAAGTATGCCAAAGAACTGAAATGTCCAAGGTAATACATACATACATACACCTTGAACCAATGATAGGTGTGTCCCTTTACCATCTGCATACCCTCCAGATGTACTCTCACCACATTATGTCAGGGAGCATGAGGACTTAAGTCGGGTCTCCAGGATGTCCAGTTGGGGAAGTCTGGGTAAATTTCTTTAGATGCTGTCGTCACTTAATAACCGTTCATTTAGCGACAAAAGTTATGACAGTGCTGAAAAAAGTGACGTTTGACTGGTGGTTGCACTTCAGAGGGTTCCAGCACCCCACAATCCCATGATAGCCATTTGCAAGCTTCCAGAGAGCTTCCAATGAGCAAAACCAATAAGGAAACTAGCAGAAGGTTGCAAGTTGTAGTCACATGACAATGCACTTAACCAGAGGTGGTATTCAGCAGGTTCTGACCAATTCTGGAGAACCGGTAGAGGAAATTTTGAGTAGTTTGGAGAACCGGCAAATGCCACCTCTGACTGGCCCCGCCCCCATCTATTCTCTGCCTCCCGAGTCCCAGCTGATTGGCTGGGCCTTCTTTTGTTGCCCTGCCCAGGAGAACAGAACTGGAAAGCAGGTTAGTGGGGTGGGAAGGGAATGGGGATTTTGCAGTAACCTTCTCCTGGAGTGGGGTGGGAATGGAATTTTTCAGTATCTTTCCCCTGCCACGGCCACCAAGCCACACCCACAGAACCGATAATAAAAAAAATTGAATCCCACCACTGCACTTAACTACCTCAAATGGGACTGCTGGAAAAATGTGACATAAGGTTGCATAAGGTGATGTTTTGTTTAGTGAGCATGTAGCTTAGCAATGGGGTTGCCTGTCTCAATTAGGATTGCTAAGTGAGGACTATCTATATATAATGCAGCATCCGTACAGTTCTACCTTTTCCTTTTCCTTTGAGTCAGTGTTGATTCCTGGCAACTGGACCAGTAACTGCGATATTCTTGGCAAGATTTCAGAATTGGTTTCCCATTCCCTGCTTCTTCCCAGGGCTGAGAGTGACTGACCCAAGGTCACCCAGCTGGCTTGGTGCCCAATGTGGGACTAGATCTCATAGTCTCCTGATTCTTACAGCGCTACAGCAAAGTGTCTCTTAACATCTCTACTGTAGTCTGTTATAAAGTATATTTTTCTATATGCAGGAAACAATAAGTCGTACATTTCCTTTTGTTATTGAAGAGGGAATTTATTTTTTATAAATCTCACATTAGAATGGAATGATACAGGCAGGTGCAGCCTTGCTCCTCCCAGATCCAAGCAAAAGTATACCCTTTTTAACTGGGAAGGAATCGGAGAATAAATGGATGTGTCTGTTACTTACTGAGTCTGGCAGCAGCCTTGATGGATGTTGTAAGAGACAGATTTACTTGCTTTTATCTTGCTTCTTGGAAGTGGGGGAAGGAGGACTCTGGAGGTTTCCTTGTCCCATAATGGAGGGGGAAGAAGAGATCCAGGAGGTCATCTTGTGTGAATCCTCTACTTAAAGTAGGAATCCACCAATCAATAAACACCCAGCCTCTGCTCATGCATTTCCAGTGAAGGAAAGTTCATTTCCTTGTGGAAATTTGTTCCATTGTTTGAACAGTTTTTGATTTAGACTTTTCTTGTATGTCTCATCCCTGTCTCCTTCTTAGTGGTTTAAACCCTTTTCTTTTGAATTCTGTCTTCTGGAACTCTGAACAATGTTACCCTGTCTTCTATCTGACAGCCCTTCAGATGCTCAAGAAACAGCTATGGTGTTTCCCTGCAGTGTTCTCCAAGCTAAACATTCCCAATGCTTCTATCCATTCCTTATACATTTACAGGCATTTTATTATATTGGGTAGCTTTTCACCAGGCATATTCCAGTTTGCCAATGTGCTTATTAAATGTGGTTGCCCAGAACTGGATATAATATTCTGTTATGTAGGTTGACCAGTTAAGAATTAGCACTAACAATTACCTTTTATAATGAACATAGGATTACATTTGTTTTTTTCAACTGCATCATACTGATGGCTCTTTTCAGTTTATAATCCATCAAGATATTCCGATCCTTTTCACATGTACCAATTTACATAAAGCAAAAATATTTCCAACATGCTGGAATTTATCAGGATTACATTAGTACCAATCTCAATAGCACCATTTTGAGAAGGCTGCAGTAGGGAAATTATCTGATTAAAGTAATTGTCTATGTTTCCACCACACACTGAACTACCATTGTATTTTAGATTAGCATGCTGTGCCAAGCTAGCACATGTAGCTTTCTGAATATCATGTAAACTCAAATAATGGGATTGAATGAACCACTGTTGACTCGACTCTACAACAATTGCACTGAGTCAACTCCCTAAGCAAAGCATCTTTTTTCAGATTCGTTGTGAAGCCTGAGAAAGATGGGCTGCTTTAATGTTTAACAGAGAAGTACGGTACTTGTGTACAGTCCAATGCAGTTCTTCTGAAGGATTTTGAAATACACTCTTTTAGGTACATCACAGGGATGACCTAAAGTAGGCAGTTCAGTTGAGGCTGACAGTATACAGGCTTTAAGGTGGATAAATTGCAGCAGTTGCAATAATCCAGAGGAACCAAGATACCTTGAGTTTCAAAATTGATAGAAGGAAACCTGAACAATAATATATAACCATGTCAGTAGTGATTAGTGGTGCTTGGATGCTGTTCATTTCCAGAGCAGAAGCAATTATGCCATCTTCTGTAGTGCCAGGATTCAGCAACCAATTCCTTGTGCTCTGGTGAACGAGAGGATATAAACTTTCAACTCTTGCTCTTGTTTATGAATGGTTGCACATAGAGAAAGGAAAGGAGGAAAATTGTGGAAAAAAATGACTACTACTTTGCCTTGCGTAGATCTAATTGTAGCAGTCTTCAAAAATTTTCTTTCAAATATGAAAGAATGTGGAGCTTGGACATGAAGGAGAACAGCAAATCATTGAAAGATGGCTCAGTCCCAAGAAAGAGGAAAATGTGAGAAAGCAACTAAAAAATAAAATTTATGTATTTATTTAAATAGCTTACATGGCCACCCACATCACAGCTGTTCTCTGGGTAGCAGGATTACAACACAAACCTCAACCCACAATGTCCAAGGTTAAAACAGTAATTGCAAAAAAGCACATCAGCAGCACCAGTGCCCACCTAACCTCCTTCCTCAAACGCCTGGGGAAAATAACCCCACCTTGGTTTTGCTTGACATATGATGGAGCAAAGAGAAACACTGGTAGGCTTTGAAATTTCTGGGTTCTATGCTACAGCAATATAGAATCCCTATCCTGCCTATTTTCTTAACTTTGCCCTTCTTGAAGGGCTGACAGCAGGATTATTGGTAGTTTTTATTAAAAGCAGAGGCCTACTTTTTATTAAATGTATTTCCTGCCATTTCCTCCTCCAGGTTTTCCTCATAGTTATCACGTTGTGAGATGAGTTGGGCTCCACAGATTGGCCCAAGTGGGCTTCCATAGCTCAGCCTCCCTTGTATCACACTGGTGGCTTTTAGGTTGTCTGTTTTGTTATTAATAGAAAAGCCGGAAATTTGTACTCATATGACTTATAAGTAGAAATCCCATTTGGGGAACAGGGATATATGGCATCTGTCATTGATCATGACAGATTCCCAGGTTTAGTGCTCTTCACGCTATATTTCTTTTTTCTTTGCCGGTTGAGAAGAGGGGGGGAAAAACAGTGAAGCACATATAGCTTCATCCTTTTATATTATTTTAATTGATGAAAAATGAATACCAATCATTACAAAGTAAAGTGTCTGATCAGCATTGCCATATATGATTACACAAGCATAATCTTATATAGCATTGTTGATTAGTACCTATTCTTTATCGGTAAAGCAAGGAATGAAAATGGCGAGGGAGAAAAATTAATCTTTCTTACCCAATTGTATATGTCCCACTTGCTTGTTAAATGGCACAAAGGTACATTAATCTTCCTATAGTGAGCTTGTATGTAGAGTTTATGGTGTCCGTGCACCTATCTAAGTGAAGCTAGGTGATCTTACATTAAGTAAACTAACTGCATCTTGTATAGTTCTGAATTACATGATTCAAGAGGGAGTGGATTCACTTGCTCTCACAGAAAGTCCACATGCAGTGATATATGCTGTTTAATGCACTTCATAGATCATTGCCTCTTAGGGCATAATTAAACTGGGAACAAAAGAGCTTTTACCATAGTCACATTGTAGCAGCAGCCGAGATATCCTGATCCAAGTACAAAAAGGCACAATTTCCCTCATTCCTACCCCTGCAAGTTTGTACAAGAAACAGTTGACTGAGCTTTCTTCTGCACTGATGCAGCTCTGTGCTTTTAGGATCCATCTTATGGCTGGCCGATTTCCTACAGGTGCTAAAAGGGATGCTGCGTCAACTGAGATGGAAGCTACCTTTATTGAAAACCTCAGATATGCTGCTGACATCTTGAAACAAGTACGGACTGAGTGGAAATGGGAGAATTACCAGATTGCCATGTTTCTTCCAGAAAGGGAAAGGATTCTATTTAATTTTGATTTTATTTGGGGTGGGGGAACTATTACTCTCCAGATGTTAATGAACTACAACTCTTCCCTCTTTGAGAGCCAGACTGGCTACTGGGGGATTGTTAGTTAAACTTTCCTGAACTCCAGTTTCCAAGAATTCCACAGAATCAAAAGAAGAGCAAGAAGAAATTGCTCAGAAAAAACCATAATCCATAATTACAGGTAGACCTCACTTATTGCCTTGTGCAATGTTTAAAGTTACAGTAATGCTGCAAAAAAGATCCTTTGCAACCAAGGCACACATTTACAACCTTTGCAGTCTTTCTCTCAGTGATGTCTTTGCCATTACAGTCAGTTAGTAGACAATACTAGACACTGTCCTGTGTCTCAATCTGTTTTCCCCCACTTGAGGAAGGGGGACATTGCCTGAACAAGTGATCTGTTAGACAATTTCTCCTTTGCCTGAACCATTTTTCCTTCCTCTCCACATACTAAGTTGTTTGCACAGCAAGCTAGCAGAGTCCTTTCAATGTGTATTCCCCACTGTGTGCCTTACTCTCTTGTAATCTTTTCTTTTCCAGTGAATTTAAACACAAATGTGATTTCCCTTTTGCTAATTATCTCAGCATTGGGATAAGCATTCCAAAAAGTGAAGGAGTGTGTGTGTGTGTGTGGGGAGTGTAAGTAGAATTGTAAACTGTCTCAGTCTGTGATTTTCACTTAAATAGCTGTGTCACCTAGCAACCAAGTTGCCCATCTCAATTGGGGTTGCTAAATGAGGACTACCTGTAATTCCCAAGTTTACGTTACTAACTCCGGGATGACAGGCAGCAGGGGAAAATAGTTGTACACAATGGATCTGGAACTATCTGTGAGATTAGGCAGAACTGAAACACGAGGGTTGAAGCCTAAAAGCAAACTTTCCATGATACATTATTCTTAAACTTCCAAATTACAATTCCCTTTCTGTGTCTATCCCTGCAGGAAAATCTGATTGGATTACTGGAGCCTATTAATAACCAGATTAGTGATCCCAATTATTGTTTGACCACACCACAGCAAGGTAAGACAACATGTGAAACTTCCCTTTCATAGGCAGAGTACTGCATAGAGAGAATGGAAGTTCTCTCTCCTCAACAGCTCTCGATTGCACCGAGAAGATAAGAGGAGAGGAAATTAAACCCCTTCTCAGCTACCATCCCACTTTTCTAATTCCCAGTGAATCCTTTAAAGGCAGTAGACAGACATGCTGTAATGGATAATGCTTGGTTCTTGGTGGCAGCAGCCAATGAAACAGAAATGAGAGTCACTAGGATGTTTGGATTGGCTACATCAACTATCTGTGGAATTACACATGACCTAAAGGTTCCTATTTGTGTTTTAGAGTTGGCTGTAGTAATGCTGAGATATGGAGAGGATAAAATCAGTTGATAACCTAAATCTGTATTCTTTCAGCTGCTGCCATTTTGGAAAAGGTAGGACGACCCAGTTTGAAGCTACAGTTGGTGAGTATCATATGTTCTTTTAAGGGAATGTTGGGCTTTTCAACTGCTTACAGTAGGTGACTCAGAATAGCCTGCTCACTAGTTAGGAATTCCACAGGTTAGGAATTCTCACTAGTCTAGGAATTCCACAAAGTCACCTGGGAAGCCAGCAGAGGCCACACATTGCTCCGATAATTCACTCCTGCTTTTTATTCTTCCTGCAGCCCACCTCTACTAGCAATGTAGCCTGCAACATCCCCCTGTCCAGGCCTTCCTCCCCACACACATGCAGCCTCTGCTGATCCTCCCAGGGCCTCTCTGATTCACGTGGACCCTATGCCAGCCTTTCAGGACCTCTTTCAATCCCACCACCACCCCTGCAGTCCTTTCCTGGGGTTTCCTCTTCTTGCTTAAAGACCCACATCTCTTGGCGTTAGGACGGCAATGGGGATTGCCATTGCTAAATGATGCATGTGGGCATCTGACATTATATTTTATGACCATATGACAAGTCACAGCAATCCCAGTCGCAATTGCCATTACAATGAGAGGATTTACCTGGATTTAAAATAATAAAAAAAAAAACTTGGGGTTCCTGGGTGCCACTTTGGACTGTACAGGTAGTCCTCGACTTACAACAGTTCATTTAGTGACCGTTCAAAGTTACAACGGCACTGGAAAATGTGACTTATGACTGTTTTTCACAAGACCTTTGCAGCCTCCCCATGTGATCAAAATTCAGATGCTTGGCAACTGGTTATTTATGGTCGTTGCAGTGTCCCAACATGGTGACAAAGTCAATGGAGAAGCCAGATTCACTTAACAACTGGGTTACTAACTTATCAACTACAATGATTCACTTAACAGCTGTTGCAAGAAAGGTCATAAAATGGGGCAAAGCTCAATGTCTCACTTAACAGAAATTTTGGGCTCAGTTGTGGTTGTAGGTCGAGGACTACCTGTAGCCTGCAAAAATTAAACTGCTGGTTTCTAATACCATGTGAATCCAGTCTTAATAGATCAGGGCAAAGCCCATTTTAACACAATGTTGTTTTTCATGCTGACTGCGATCAGATACTTCCATTCAGAATCAGAGATATAGACCTTCTCCTATTGTTCCCCTATTTGAGACTTTCTGCCCCACCCCACCCCACCAAATTCAAAGGTAATACTGAATTTGAAAAAGGAGAAAGATTACGCCTTGAGCTGAAGACCTACTTTTTGCTCCACAGGATATTTTCCACTGCCAGATCATGAATGGTAATCTGACACAGAATTTAAAGAGATATTTCCCAATTATTGGTAAGCTAGAAACTGTTGCTTGTTTTGGTTTTTTAAAATTAAGGGGCCAAGGCTAGAATCAGGTAGAGCAAATAAGAAATGTCTGGTATTTATTGTCTTCTTCTGTAGGACATATTCAAATTGCCCAAGTACCAGAACGGCATGAGCCTGATAGCCCTGGAGAATTGAACTTCCATTACTTATTCCAGTTACTGGAGTCAATGAATTATAGTGGTTATATCGGCTGTGAATATAAACCAAAAGGCAAGTTTTATTTTGTGCAAACGGGAAGAACCTTGTTACATTGATTATTGCCTGTTGGAAGGTTTGGCCAGTCCTGCAACCTCAAAGAGTGGAGGTTAGCTGTCCAAGTATTAGTTTTGCTTAATATAAGTCTTTATGGTTCCTCTGCAGGTAACACATTGGATGGATTAAGCTGGCTGTACGCGTACTGGGAAGATCATTGTGTGTGAAAAGTTGGAAAAAACTGAAATAAAATCCATTACAGATGGAGTAACCAACAGCAGCAACTGCCGTATTCTTCCCAGAGGGAAGAACCACTTTTTTGCTACTGCCTGAGCTACCAAAAGTATCCCATTATTTTACATTAATAGGACGATATTTTTTAGTGAAGTAAGATGCTCAAGTATGCTTGTTTTTACTTGGATTAAAGCTGAAAATTATGTCACTCGGTGTTCCATGATAAAATGACATTCCTGCTGGGAGCTTTCCTTCTCAATTACATATTCTACTTTGATCCTTTTTTTAAAGTTGCAAATCGTTTGCACCTCCACATTCTGAATACAGTAACGAAGACTGGCCAAAGGAATGCAAAATTATGGCACACACCCCCAAAGATGCTGGCATCCCTTTTTCTTCCTGCAAACAGTTAATGGGAAACAATTTGTAGCTCAACAGTGCCACTTGGTGGGTCTAGAAAAAAAATCCTTGATTTTTTTAAACTTGCCTTTTCATTGCATCATGTCCTACTCAGAAAAATAGCTGCATCCACTATGTAACATTAAGATCTGATAAGTGTTAGACAGAACTCATGGGAATCCAGGCCAGTTGTCTTAGAGAATACATCAGCATATCATAGAACAACAGGGTAAGAATCTGGCAGTGCTTCCACCTATCTTGAGAGAACGTTGTTGGGCAAGTAAACAAAAGTCTGCTCTGCTTCTCCTTAAAGATCAGTGCAACAGCCTGTTAGGCAATCTGTAACAAAGTCCTTAGTAAGCCATTTAATTTATTTAATAAATAAATTCATGTCATCCATTTATTTACTGTACATTCACCTCATATAAAACATTCCCGCCATTGTGCAGATCCCTTCAAATATGCTTTAATAGTGTCACTCTAACCGATCGGTCAGGTCAGCGACTCCAGTAGTCTTTTAGCCTTTCATCTCGAAGAGCCCACAGAAACATGGCCCATCCTTCAGATGCCTCCTAGAGTAATTTCTCTGGATAAGCATAACCCGCCCTTTTAAGTGGGCCAGCCAAGTTGCTTTCTCGATTCCTGGAACTGCTCTGTTTTCATGATTCCCCCTCTTGGCCTAGTCAGATTCAGTGTTCTGACTTCTTATCCAGTAAGCTACAGCCTCAGATCGCGGTCCTGTCAGGGCACCTCCATTCTAGGCTTGCTGTAGATGCCTGTGAAGCAGTCAGAAGGTCCGGATGATTCTAGAGCAGCCCTGTCCAGAGGTTGAAGCAAGCTGTGTTGATAACGGATTCCAAGTGATGGTACGTGGATACAAGTTGTGGCAGAGGGCTTTCACTGTCCTGGGGTTGAACTGGGAACAGCTCTCGAAAGACCACTGTCAGGCTCTGCAAGGCAATACCAACAAGATTTAGATCTTGCCTTGTTACACATATTTTCTGAATTATAAGCCACCCAAAGTCATTGACTGAGATGGGTGGCTATAGGAATTGGAGGGAGGCAGGGAGGACAAACAAACTGTTGCCAAGAGTACTTCTGAAAGACTAGTGCCCAAAAACCTCCAAATATTATATATTCGTTTTTCAGTCCCTATTAGGGTTGGAGAACAGATTCTGATGTGACTGCATGATTGGCCATAAAGAAAATCAGAGCTGTCTAAAGGCAGTTGTTCTAATCCAGAAGAAGAAAGCCGAAGCTGCTGGATTAGGGGTCTGCAATTGTGAGTACAAGAAATCTCTGGTTAAAAACAATCAAGCTGATGGAGTTACTCTAAAACTCTATTGCCTCCCCCTTAACCTTCAGGTTTGCAGAGGATAAAGCTCTTACTGTTTTTCCTGAATGCGAATCAAGGAATACAAGCACAAAACAGTCTGTGAATTTCTGATTCAGAACAACCTGTGGGGAAAATGCAACAGTGCTGCATTACAGTCATGACATACAAAGAGGTTCTAGTCAGTGGAAGGATAGGGGAACAGAGAATATGGTTAAGGCATTAGGGATTATCTAGAAAACTTAAACATCGATTTATGTATATATACAAATACAAACTGGCCTAAAACGGCATTGTTACTGTGCTAGAAAAGCAACAAATACAAATTTTATTCTAATAGTGAAAATATTACCACTTCATAAGGGTGGACAATCGGGAATTATTTTGGGTTGAACTTCAGCAAGGTCCAGCAGGGCACAATTCAGCTGGAAATATCTTACCAGGTACTGGGTACCAGCATCAGCATGCTGGAAATGGCGACAACTCTGTGGGAAACGACTGAGTAGGACTTTGATAAGACTCTGGTACCAGGAGGCAGTCATAGTGAGGAAGCAGCTCTGCCAAGGAAAGGAAAAAAATGGATAAAGTGAGGGCAGATCCTTTGCAGCATGCAGAGAATGCGAAATAGGCAAAGTATGATTTCTGGAATTCTTTCCAGAATTCTTTCCAACATCTTTACTAGCAGTGGCCATAGAAAGTGTTATGTTTCCCCATGTAAGGAAATAATATGTTTCTGTGGAGGTGTCAGGATGAGTGCATATGTATTGCTATTTTTGTATTTAGGATGGGCTATATACATTCACTCTGGCTCATCTTACCAAAAAGAAGAGAGGGGAACCTAAGCGGTGCCCAAGCCACTGTTCAACTCCTTCCCATACTTTTCTGAAGTGTTCTCTCTATAGCTGCAAGGTATAGAGATCCAGTTATTTTTGAACTGGATCTTTTGCTAGACGCTTTCTTCTAACATATCACATTTGGTCTTAGTTTCTGGTTGACTATTATGCTTGTGGCCAGAGTTCTGATTCCTTGCTTTCCAACGTTTCATTATTCGTATTATTAGCATTTTCTTCCCTTGAGTTTTCTCTAAGGTGAAGCTCAATGCTGCATACATTTGTATGAATATGGGATTTGGGAGCCCAATACGACACCACGTTTAAAGCCTCTCCACCAGCCCTAGATTAACTTTGGCAGATAGATTTCTGCAAAGTGAGATGTTAAAACCATGCATTCAGAAAGGAATGCTCCCAGAATAACTGAAATTTAAAGTTGTATATAGAAAAATATATTGGACAAAAGCCACCCTGCAGTAAAATTCTTACCGTGTTAGTACTATCTACTTGTTGGGCAGATCAATTAGCCTGTTGGTGGACCTGGCCATCCAAAACTTTATCGCCCCAATCTACCTTTTGACTACCACAGACCTTAAGCCTATGGGTAAACTTATCCACCCAAATCCACTGGTGTTCTCTCAGTCTCTGTTTGTAAAGAAGACAGGCCATCAACGTCTCTTTCATATCCTTTCTTGCTCATAGCCTGCTTCTGCCTTCTGCTCTTATTGTGGGGCCCAACACAAATGCATACACAGTAGCACCATTAAACTGAGTACCCTTGATTGAGTTCAGCCACTTACCAATTGGGGATCAATGTCAGCAATGGACTTCTTATGCACAGCATCTAACAGCTCCTCCAGCTCACTTAGAGACAGCTTGCCCAGCTTCAGCTTGTCAGAAGCCAGAGGTTCCAGCAAGAAGAGCCTCTTCCAGAGGTTGTCCCGCCGACAGTGGCCCTTGGCACATTGTACCATGGTGCTGAGCTGTTTCTGGGCGGCAGCAACCTCCGAGGCAAGTAATGGAAACAGTGGGGAGGTGTAGAAGAGTCCTGGGCCCACCTTGACTTGGGGGCCACCTGCATAGAACTCGCCATGATTGTCTACCTCCTCCCAAGGATCTGAAACTTCCTTTTGCTGCTGGCCACCCTCTGCTGTCTCCCATGCCGAGCGTCCCAGGACAGGTTCTTGTGTCTCTCGCTGTAGGCGTGGCAGTTTTTTGAAGCGCCGCATGTCTGCTGTTAGTCGAGGGAAGAGCTCCCGTTGGCTTGTCATGATTACGTAATATTGCAACCTGGAAAAGGGTAAACAATTGTCATGCCTGTTGCCAATGGCCCTGTTTATCAACAGCCTGATACACAGCCTCCAGTAGCAACATTTGAAGAAAGGCATCTTCCCTGCTCTCCAACTTGTCCGTAATCTGTCTAACCCAATAATCTTATGTCAACCCAACAAGGTAGGCCAGACTAATAATCCAATGCTACTTTCATTGCAGTTAGCGATAGCACCAGAACTTTGCAAGTCCAAATGTGCTTTCTCCTTCCCTCACTTTTACCTTTGTGTGAATTAGGGAAGGGCCCATCTGAGATAAGTTTCTTGGCTTAGATGCAACCCTGCTTTTCTGACCATTGCTTTAGTAGCGGTTCTTCCTCTTGTCCTTCAAAGCCATTCCCTGCACCCTCTATATCTTATGGCCTTCCCTTGGATAGTCCTGGACCATCTATCCACTAATGTACTACAGCTAAACTATATCTCTGCTTACCTTTTGTCTAACATTGTAAGCACCCCCAGTTTTCTAAATGGGAAGTCTGAAAAGTTGTCCAACTTGTTAGTCTTCCGGCCTGCCTTAACTCTTACCGTAACATGTGTCGGTCTGCCTCACTCTGGTCTTCAAAGGGCACAGCACTGTGGCTCACAAGCAGGGACACATCAAAATCATCATGATGACGCAATCCCTCTGAATCTTTGTAGGAACCAGAGCTGTGAGCAGAGAGAAGTGTGGGAATTCTTTCAGTAGAGGAAAAAAAGCAGCTGCAGTTCTTTCCTCCACAATGTTTACTATTAATGGATAGACTACTATGGTGATAGGCTGCTCGACATAACTAAAAGCAGAAAGACAAGAAATTAACCCTCAACTTGAGTGTTGGAATGCCTTTAACTCAACTCTAGAACTATGGGTTTTTCCTAAAGACATAGGGAATATTTGGAATTTGTAACATTATTTGTGCATTGTTCAGCTTGATTTAAAAGACATTCACTGGGAACAGTTCAATAAGAATGGGGTTACAGAGTAAAAGACTAATTGGAAAATCTTAAGTGAATCTAATGCAAAGGATAAATGAGGAGTGTGGGCCTCTGTTTTCTTGTTACACCTTGAAACCATACAACTAGCAGGACAAACTTTATGTTCTCATGTAGATGTATCTGTTGTTGTGCATACATTAAACTCAAGTTATAACATCCTCGAGTCTCGGAAGAGATGTGAGCCTACTAATATGCTTTATAAAAGATGACTGGCTTCCATTCTTGACTCAATCCTGAATCATCAGAAATCTTAA